CCAAGAAATATTTAAGTTTATATACACTATCCAGTACATTTTTAGAACATCCCATACATTAACTTTTGACCAAGATGCATCAGAACCTTTACTGTATACTGCTGTTTGTTATTACAGTATTACCAAACATTGTTGTAACCGTTTAACAGATAGCATCCAGGAACAGGGAAGGTCAGAACCTGAAGGCTGAATATATTTTTTTTCCTGCAGAGAAATCCTAAGTCCTAGGATGGGTCCTAGAGCCCATCCCTAACTAGGGCACCAAGAAATTCTTCCTGAAACCCTGGAGAAGCACTGGTGGTCAATGAGGACAGTTCTGAAGTAGATAAACTAATAGGGTAATTTCCTATGTTGCTTAGTAGTAACAACAGCTTTTCTTTTTTTGCTTTTGTTTTACTATAGGAATATATGGTTCCAAATAGCTGTACAAGAATTGACACATAGCTAAGGTATTAGGTTAGAACTACAATATGTCATAAATGTTGCCATAAAAGCTGCCAAATTTTTGAGACCTGCTTTCTAAGATCAATGTGGTTGATGTAATGCAGGAATTGCCTGCTTCCCATATTGTGTAGTTAAAACAGATACTTGTACACATGTTTCATACAAGAAAATTGGCTAATTAACCAGATTCACTCTATATTTAAAATGTTCAGCTTTTGCTATACTCATCACCTTTCCTGGAATTTAAGAATCAGGAAAATAGCAATAGTTGTAAAACTATTATTCCATTCCAATCAAAAATTGCTTATTTCCAAAGATGCTGCAACCTTGTATGCAAGGCCAGGTAGTAAATGTAACCCTTGATGGCTGTGTCACAGCTGCAAAGCGTCCAGAACCTGCAAAGCGTCCAGACATTGGTGACTCTATAGTGAGACTAAATGGCCCCTTGGTTGCTATGGAATATATCTGGGATGCAATGCAAGTGCCAAAAGAGAAACATAAATGATGATATATAAAAACATAACTGTTACAGATAATTAAAAATGTTTAATAATATGGAACCATAACTCGGTAATAGAACACAGCTTTTTAATATGTAAGTTTCTGGAATCTTCAGAGTGGGCTAGATGAACAAATTTTTGGCCTGATAGATGTCAGCCTTCAGTGACTTAGGAGGTCAAAGAAGTCATGATGAAATTATCCCACATGTTCTCAATTCCAGTAATTAGGTACTCTGTGATAGAGTGAACATTATGCTTGAATATTTGATTATTATAGCTTGTCTTCATTGATGTATCTTCCTTTGTGATGGTTGGTTTTTATACGATGTCAGTTGGAAGTTGCTGTGGCACTAAGACTCAAGCTATCAGTGCAAATGCCACTTGTTATGTTATCCTTGAATGATTAAGACTCCCTGTTTTGGGAACATTAACAGTCACAAGCAGCTGTTAGTGTGTTATGGAAGAGGTTACTGATGTGCAAATTACAGAGTGTTACTGATGCTTTTTAGAGAAAGAGATTAGTTTAGTTTATGTGTGGGATACAACTTGGGAAGTCAGAAGAAAATGTGAAAACATGGCACTGTTTTGACACCATTAATGAAGGCTAATAGAATAGCCTCTGCAACTTAGTTTGTTATTGTGGTTCCCAGACTACCCCCACCTCTCCTTTGCTGAGTTCTTTGCAACTTAGCTGTGAAAATTTGCACTCAGTTAGCACACAAGAGTTGGACCGCCTCTGGGGAAGAAAGAAATTATTGCACATATTCTAAAAATATACATGCAAACACTCTGGACTAATTGAAGTGTCTTAACACTTTAGATCTAGCCAAAAACAAAGAGTTACTTAAAAGAAAGAATACTGAATAAAAATATTGCACCTGTTCATAAAAAAAACGGTTTTTCTCCCTCAGTGTTCTCAGCATTGCTAGAGCAGTAATTAAGTTGATGCCTTTTCAGAATAAGTATTGAAGGAGAGTTGTTGACAACAGCAAGATAAGTTTAGTTCAAGTATCTTTTCTCATCAGATACTAGTGGGAAGATGGAAAGCAACCATTGAAACTGCTCAATTTTCTATAAAATTGAGTATATAGTATGTAGGGACAAATGTGGTGTGCCAACACACTACTTTAATGGAATGGGGGCAGGGGAGACACTTTTCAGTCTCTGCTTCCTCATTGTGAAGTTCATCTTGTTGTCAGATTCAGCCGGCACGGCCCGGTACGGCGAAGGCACCGCTCAGCTTCGCCTAAGTCAATTTCGCCACCCAGGTGCAAGCAGAGAAAAAGGGGAAGTGAAACCGCAAGCAGATGCTCTGCTGATTGGCAACAGGTGGCCGTGCTTAACTCAAAACCGCAAGCGGATACTTTGTATCAGCGCAGCTTCCCTCGGGCGCTGCAAACAAAGGAAAGCGCAGAGGCTCGGAAGCGACGCAATCAATGAGCAGCGATCGAGAACTCCCGGCTTTGCGCAAGCAGGCAAACCCAACAAAGGCAACAACAGCACA